GTTTTCCAGTCGACGACAAAACAGCAAAGATTATTAAAATGCTAGAGGCACTAAAGTTCAAAAATGGTTGTATAATGGACCAAAGTTCAGGAATTCCCCTGCAGCAACGGATGCTACCTTGTCCCATGTCATCGCTTCTCAAAAAAATGAAAGAAGTTTGGAGTTTCTGACTATTTTCTCACAATCATACATAATTGAACCCCCTCGGTTGCAACAATAGGATGATTGCGGTCGCTTTGCAGTCCGCCGCCATTGTGCCGCCAGCAGCGCGCGCCTGACATTCACTTAGCGCGCGTCCCGGCCTCATCCGCCCCCTCCCCGCGGACAATCCAATATACCCCCCCTCCCTTTTCCCCGGTGCCCCCGGCCGACCCCGCCGCTGGCTCCACGCTTTTAATGAATTAGTATTTGGTCGAGTATGCAAAAGGTGCGACAAGGACCTTATCATCGACCCGTTTGGAGCCCAGCCAGGCGGGGGGGTCCGGGCCGGGTCGGCGTCGTCGGCCGCAGGACAGCCGCCCCTGGCAGTCACCGGAGCAGGCCCCCCTTAGCCTGGCCCCGCCTGGACCAAATGACCTCATCGCGCCAACCTCCTCACTCTGGGCCAAACTTTAAATTGAAACCATGCGGCTTTACTTTTACTATCATTGCCGCCTGGCTGGCTTCCCACGTCCCCACTAGGCTGGTCCAGCCAGTCCAGCCCACAGCCTCTCCATCTCTTCATCTCTGGAATCATTCTGCTTAAAGCGAGCGGCGTCCCGTAGTAGTGTGGACGTCGTCCCGTGGACAACGTCCTGTGGGCACATCCTGCGGACAGGCTAATGCCACCAAGAGGATGCCCCGGGAGGGACGGGTCGGCTCTCACTCAGCAGTGTGTGTAGCGCCCCACCCCGCCCCGCCCCGCCCCGCGAGCCCACGCGGCCACTCGGCCCCCACACGCCCCGGCCGGCCCGGCCATGATAAGACTAAGCTCACATGCTTGCTCACAGCACAGCCGGCCCACCGAGCCGCGCACAGTACGTACGTACAAGGTCCCCTTCCCCTGCTGCTCTGCAGAGCCTGCGAGATCAAGCAGTAGAGAGAGAGAGAAGGAGAGAGAGCGAGCGGGAGATTGCGGGCAAGGAGGGGGGAGGGGGCTCATATATTATAATCAGAGCACAACACAGCCTTGCTCGAGCGGGTCGCCAATAGGAGGAAAATTGGAAATTAGCCGCAGGCCGCAGGCAGTGCGCCCTCGATTCCGAAAAATTTAATAATCGAAGGACATTGGAGACTTACGCCTCTCTCTCCCTCCCCCGATTTCTGTCTCCGCCTCTCGCCCTCTCCGGGTTCCTCCGTTCCTCCATGAGCGGGCCGGCGTTCACTTCAGTCGCAGCTTATTTTATTTACTGCTTAAAATAAGTGAGGGGGGGGCGGATTTATTTTAGTATTGGAGAAACACTGGCGAGGTCGTCGCAACTCCCCTGTGACGTGACACCCCTACCATTCGCAACGCCCTCCTTCTCCGGTTAAATATTAATGTAGATGAAAATTTGAAAAGGAAAGACGGGATAAAAAGAATTAACAATGGCTCGTCAAGTCACGTTGCAGAGAGTCGAGCCTGGTAGTATGGGACCAAGCAGGAGACGCGCGGTTCAAAGAATACTAGAGTGTAGAGTGGCGTCTTCAATGAGGCAGTTTGTCATCTCGGAGCCGCTATAGCAGAGCATACTTGGCGTCATTTTGAATTCATGAGACTCTTTCCGGCGATATAGCTCCCGGTGCCCCCCTCCCCCTTCCTCTCCCTCGTTTCCCCCCCTCGGGCGACTGCACCCCTTAAAGCCCCCTTGTTTTCACCATGGACGAGCACGCGAGGGATGAGAGGCATAGGGGGGGGGGAG